GGAGGTTTGTTATGAGTTTTACTAGACAGAGTGCGCGGAAGACTTTATAAAGAAAACGTGATTACAGAATGATCAAGAATGATAAAGGAGCACGCATTTATAGGGTCGAAATCGTGCTAGGCGAGGACCTCGTGAAGTGCGTGGCTCGGAAATGTCGCGATTGGTGATGGGCGACTCGGAATAGGTTCGGCGCGGAAGTGTAGGCCGAACCCAACTGACGCAACTGTTCGGGCTGTCCTCGCTAGGAGCAGCCTCTACAGTAATGAATGTATATTCATTACAAGGTTGGTAGGTAGACCTGCACATGACACAGTACCACCAATTATGGTAAATACATACCGCACCCATTCCGCAGGATTGGCAGCGTCGCATCGTTAGCATTATTTACAAACTTCAACAGTGCACGTCGTATCGCCTAAGCATAAGTTGGCTCCCCATTGGAAACTCAGTAACCGCACCACATTCACCTACCTACTGGTTTCGCTTCACCCATCCATCTTTACCAAAAACCAAGCAGTACCGTACGCGCCAGCAACACCAACCATTCGTACTGAAAAACCGCTGTACCATGTTAATCTCAACTAGCTTCCTCTACTTTCTCGAGGCAGCTACCGGTACCACCAGGCTTGTTAAGCCCGCGAAGCTTCATGGCAGCACGCACCACCACCCACTTCTTCTTGCCATGCAGCACAGGGTACGGCATCACGGGCATCTGCACATCCTCCTGCACCTCCAGCTCCTTCTGAATTAGCGCAGCCCTCGCCTCCTCTCCCAGCTCCACTCCCTCACTCCTCACACTCCGCACACTCTCCGCACTCGCCACAGCTGCCACTGCATCAGCTGCTGCTGCGGCTGCGTCTGCTCCAGAAACTGAATCAAAGGAGGAGGCGGTGAGGTGTGCAAGGTGCGCTGCACGCTTGCGCACGGCCTGCTGCACAAACTCCACAAAGAATTGCGGAAACCCAGGGATGCGCTCGTACCCAGGCATGTAGTTGATGTCCACCACGAAGTACCTGCACGGAACCACAAAGAGGGCCGACCATAAGGCATGTGGGTTGAACACATTATGGCAAACGCGGGAATTATGAGGGACAGGAACCGGTGCTATACAATCCGTTTTTTTTTTTTCCCCAAAAAAATCCACCAAACGACACGGACAAAACAAACCCGCGTGCACAGGCACAGATTCTTTCTCCCAGGCCTCTCTAGCCTAGCCCCGAAGCTCACCTGTCATCATGGCCGCCTTGTCTTAGAATGTCCACGTTGAAAGCATGCAGGCGCAGGTGCTTCCGCAGCGTGAGTCCGAGGTCGTGCATGAGGGCGGGCGGGGGGTCGGTGACGCGTGTGTCCTGCAGCTCCTCCTCGCTCATGTGCACGTTGGAGATGCGGTTGAACTCCACCACGCCCACTCCCTGCACGCACCCACATGCCATGCATGCACGCAGCACACACCCACCCCGTGCAGGCGCAAATCGCCATGCACACAGCACACGCCGTACGTACGGGGCCAAGAGATAAAGGATGAGCCCGGCTGCTTGCATGGAGCAGTTCGTGTGAGCTATGGCAGGTGTGGGTGTGTGGTGCAGGAGACGCACTGAGGCTATCCAACGACGAGCAAAGTGAGTGACAGAGTTAGGGAGTGAGTGAGTGAGTGAGTGAGTGAGTGAGTGAGTGAGTTAGTGGGTGAGTGGGTGAGTGATTGCGTGAATGAGAGATGCTGCCCACTAGGTTAAATGAGGACCAGATGGAATGAGTTTTGAGTTCACAAAAGAAGGCACAGTCACACCCTTCCACATGGGCCCCATTCCCTTCTTTTCTCTTTCCTCTTCCCTCCCCATCCATCAACCACATTCACCAGTTAAGCACAGAACGTCAAGCCTCTAGCAGACCAGAGAAAGTGCTGGAAATAGAAGAAAACACGACAGAATCAAGGTTTTCCACCCCAACACTGACCTTGCGCAAAAAGTCCCACTTGCCCGCCTTGGGACTCGGGATCTCCATGGGCGGCGCGTCAGCATCGTCAGAAGCCGGCCAGAGGTCAGGAGGGGGGATGTCGGGCAGCGACTGGCGGCGGAAGACCATGATCTTGTCGCCCAGCACGTAGAGCTTGAACAGGATGCCGCCGTGGTTGACAAACTCCTGCAGCAGCACGGGCGGCTGCACCTGCAGCAGCGACTGCTCGTCCAGCACGAGCCCCAGCGTGTGCGAGCTCGTCGTGCCGTTCGCCTCCAGGGGCTTCGCCACGGCTGGCAGGGAGAAACCCGCGTCTGACGGGAGGAGAGCGAAGGGGGGGGTGTTGGAGGAACAGGGTTAGGTGGGCAGGGGGGGGCAAGGCAATTAGGGCAGGGATGGGGCAAGGTGCACAGAGATGCGAGACCAGTGCGAGGAGGGAATGCTACTGTGGTTCAGTTTCGGCCTTTGTGTCCTTCGAGAGCGCCTTTACAGGACTTACATGTGCAGCTGCAGATGCGTGAGGATTTAGGAACATAACTCGGCCGTTTTGCCGCTAGGAATAATGAACGACGCGGATCCGCCATCATTTCTGAAGTGATCATGGGTCGAGGCTTTCACCCAAGGTGAAAACACAGTCTCAACCCTCGCCTCGCCCCTCACCTTGCAGTAGAGCGTTAAAGCGCCTTAAAACTATACACAGTCTTCACCCTCGCCTCACCCCTCACCTTGGAGTACTTTTGAGATGTCGTGCGGCGGCGTGCCGCGCTCGATGATGATCTGCTTGGGCACGCGCACCTGCGCGCCGTGCTCCGACGCGTCCACGTGGCCGACGGCCGCGAGCATCTCGCGGCGGTCGTCCAGCTTGTGCACGTTCTCGTACTCGTCGATCACCACCACCTCCGGGTGCTGCCGCTCGTACGCTCCTAGATTCGCCGCCCACTCCTCGCCCTGAGACGGGAAAGCGGGAGATTTGGAAACGGGACGAATGGAGGTGGGGAAAGCGGGGATGTAGAGAGGGGGAGAGGGAGGGGGAAACGGGGGATTTTGGGAAGAGCGGAGGGGCTGTGGTGGTTCGCGCTAGGAGTTAGTTGGGAGAGGTGAGGGGTGAAATGGTGGGTGCACCACATCAAGATGGCATCAAGAATCCCTACTACGGTGTGTACGACTCATTCTCGTATTCTCTTAAGACGCGGTTACATGCAGTCGGCCTTCAAGGTTAAGAACAACTGTTAAGACCTTTCGACGCGAATGAATGACATGGTTCTTCTTATTTGGACAGTAAAAAGCTTGTAAAATACGCTGGCGTCCCGAGCAGCGCATGAGCTCTAAGGCGCCTCAAGGCTTAAAGTCGACGGCGTTAAGAAGCAGCGCAGACGAGACTATAAGCCAGCTCTTACGTCAAGCTTGTGCAGGATCATGTTGAAAGGCCCTTGATCAACCAACGGACGGCTGGTATCGATCTCCACAAATTCGACACCGCATGCCTGAGCGTGCTCTAGTAGCTCGGGTTGCATGAAACTCGCTATTCTCTTCGGTCGCAGTGCGTATCCCACCACAATTCGCTCGCCAACCACGCCATTCCCAGCAGCAACCTTCTCCGTCATTATAGTGCGTATTTTCAAGGACAACTGGTTTTGTCAAGTGTAGAGACCAGCGAGTACGCGCGTATTGCGTTCCGACGCCTGTCTCCGTGCTCGAGAGAGTGACCGGAAGCAGGATGCGATGCGAGAAATAGAAGCTGTATTGGAAAGACGAGCTTTGGGATTGAGCTCGAGGTTAGTGGCAAGGCAGTGCTCAAGCTGACAATCGGAGAGAAATGTTTATTCAAAAGTTCAGGCAGGGTATATACTGCTGACGAAGAAAGCGAATCTCTTTGGAACAGCAGCCACGTGAGTCAGCATGAAAAGTTTCGCAGGCCAGTCAAAGCGCAGGTGATCCCCGAATTTCCGCTCATCCAATCCGAACCAGCAACGGTTTTGGTACCCCCAGAGAAGCCGTGGTGGTGCTGCCTGCGGGTCCTCCTTCCTTTTGTTGCACTGCACGGCACGGCACGGCACAGCACGCCACGCGCCGGGTCGCGGAATTCCCAGACCAAACCCAAACCACTGCCCGCCTCGCTCCGCCGAAACGACCGAACGGCATGCTGCTTCTGCGGTGGCACGTGTGTGCGCGAGAGAAAATGCCTCGAAGATGCTGGCGGGAAAATGCCCCAGTTGTACCCACGCCGACAAATGAAAGAGGAGTGAGCTGGGGGGGGCATGACAAGTCCGTACTGTACGCCGCTGTGCGCGTTAATTCTCGTTCGTTACAAGCGCCAAAGTGTGTCCCAGTCTGCCAGAAGGATATGGATATTCTAACGTGCCTATAATAGACTTAGAACTTGCCCTAAGCACTCTTACCGCTCCTTCACACATAACATCACAACGGAATCTAGATCCTTAATAATACATTCATTTCAACTCTGTTCAAAACTGGCTCGAACTCAAATGCCAGCATGGTGGTATTGGGTACGTGAACTACTCAATGTCCTTGTGGTTATCATATCTTACAAACATGAATGGAATGCTGTATATTAAGGTAACACATTACATTAGACAATCCTGGAATCTAATATTTAGATGTTGCTGGACCTTTAGAAACATATTGCACTGCTAATATTCATCCACACAAAGTTTTGACGGTGTATTCCAGAATGCGTATGTTTGATAAAGCGTTCATTTCTTCGAACCATCAAACTTCCCCAGGCTTCCGCGTAACATCTCCGAAACGCTTGCCTGTTTCGAGAAACGTCTCAGCGGCGTCACCTCACCACACACACACACACATCCATTCGGTTTTACACGCATACGCGCCCCTAGACGCATCTAGATAATTCAGTTTGGATCCTGGCTATGGCAGCGGGCAGCAACCTGGGTGAGAAAACTGCGGCTCCTGGGGTTGAACCCTGTTCCGCAGCGGCAGCAGAAGCAGGAGCGTCAAATCCTAAGGCGGATAGCGACTGTGACTTTTTGAGGGATTCCGAGTTAAAACAGAGTGCAATTGGAGCCATGGAGGGTGATCTTACATCGGAGCACATGGAGCAGCTAATAGCGGATGGAATGGCAGGCGGTACTAGTGATCAGCGTTGCGGTCGCGGTGGCGCTTCAGAAGACAAGCGTCTCTCTGGGGCCACAGACGACTCTGCAGTCCGTGAGGATCTTTCTGACAGCCCGATGGACGTTGACGGTGACGTAAACGCAGACTTACACGTTGACGTAGACGTTGACGTAGACGGAGCGGACGTGGCAGCGTCCGACGAGGAGGCGTTCAACGCGAGCAGTGGTTGTGATTGTGTAGAGGAATGCACAGGGGGTGACACTATCGAGTTCCAGGTCACCTTCCGCGGGCAGCGCGTTCCCTTGCGCATGCACCCGCGCTCCCCGCTGCTTGCGCTCTCCGCGTGCCTGTGCGCGAAACTGGCGGTCGATCCCGCCACGCTGAAGCTCATGGTCCGCGCGCGCGCGCACTTGTCACAATTCCGCGACCCCAGCCACGACGCTGCGACGGCGTCTGCTGCCAAGTCGCAGGCGACGCCGTCCCTCCTGCGACTGAGCGACCCACCCGTCCATCACCGCGCGCTCAGCGACGCGGGAATCGCGCACGGCTCGCAGATCACGCTGCTGGCTTCCACCGTCGCTGACGTGGCGGCGATGTCCGCGCTACAGGCGGGCCCGCAGGCCGCCGCGTCGCAGCGCGTGATTGGATTCGAGGAGGAGATCGAGCGGGCCATACGGCGCGGCGCGGCGGACGTAAGCGGGGGAAGCGAGCATGTCAGGAAGGAGGGTGTTGCTCTGCCCAAGGGCCCTTACACCTTCCACGACTTCCGCACGTGGCAGCTTCCTGGAAGCGAGGTGAGCGCGCAGACGCAATACCCGGAGCGTTCAATGCATCAATGATTCCCCAGCTTAGCCCAGCCCAGCCCCATGACATCACCTCCACCCTTCCCCCTCCCCCCCCCCCCGCCCTCACTTCTGCTCCCATGCGTTTCCGCGCACTCCCTTCCGCACCCATCTCACACTACCCCCTCGTCCTTCTCTCGCCCACGCCCTTCCCCACACATCTCCCCCCCCCCTGCGCCCTCCGCCCCGCGCGCCCATGGTCAGATGCGCCCTCCTGTGTCTGAGGCGTTGGCATTGCTGCACCGCCTAGCAGCCGACCCGGGGATAGTGGCCGTCATGCACAAGGTGGGTACCCCGATGGAGATTCGTAGGCACAAGGGAATACTATAGGTGTGAGGGGGTGGGTTCGTGGCGAGGGGCCTTGATATGTCACAAATCTTTTGTGCACAACCTGCTTGACGATCCAGGGAACTTAATAACGCGCGGATATTCCGAACTTTTAACTAGCTAAACTGCACTCACGAGTCGTTGCCCCATCCGTCCCCGCAACCCCTTCACCCGCACCCTTCCCCCCCACTCCCCCAACACCCCCCACTCCCCCCCAGCACCGCTGGTCTGTGCGCTTATTGAGTGAGTTGCCTCCAGAGGGACTCGTGGGAGTGTCGCCCGTGTGCCTGCTGGGCTTCAACAAGGTGAGAGCACCGCACTCGACTGCACCGAGCCTCACCTTACCGCACAGCACTGCTCTGCACCGCATTGTCCTGCACTGTTTTTGCGTGAGCTGCACTGTCGTGCGTTGACAGCACAGAATCAGAAGCACTAGAGAGTGACGCATTAGCACAACACAACCATGCTCGTGATTCTGCCATGCGCCTACTCCATTGCTCTGTTTGTCGCCCATGTTGCATAACTCCATCACATTCGCCTCTTCACGCCTCTCCACCAACCCCACACGCCCATGCTGCCATGGCCTCTCTCAATCTCACCCCCCCCCCCCCCCCTCCTCCCTTCCCCGCCTCCCTCTCCTCCCAAACGCGGCATGGGTGGAATTAGAACCGTGGAGAGGAGGTGTGTCTGCGGCTGCGCATGGACGACCTCAGGGGCTTGTTGACATGCCCTCCCCCCATTCCCGCAACCCCCCCCGCCTCCCCCCCACCTTCCCCCTGCTCCCCTGCAACATGACGGCGGCATGGCACGGCGCGCCATGGGTGGCATCAGAACCGCGGAGAGGAGGTGTGTCTGCGGCTGCGTACGGACGACCTCAGGGGCTTCCGCAAGTACCTCGCCATCCGCCGCACCCTCATTCACGAACTCGTGAGCACCAGCGGGGGGGAATGGGGAGAGGTGGGGAAACGGGAGAGGTGGGAGATTTGGAAATGGACATATTGTACCAGGAGACCGGCTGAGCTTATTGCTTGTGAGGGAGAGTCAAGGATCGGATTGCAGCAACAGGGATAATGCTGTCTTGGGAAGGTGTACTTGCTCCCAGTGATCTCCCTTCACTTACCAACCCACTCCTCTCCTCTCGTGTCTGCTCCTCTCCTTGTTCCCGTCCCCTGGCTGCTCTCTTCCTGGCTGTCTTGTGGGTGCCGCAGGCGCACATGGAGGTGGACGAGCACAACGCGCAGTTCAAAGCACTCGATAGCCAGGTGGGTGCGCTGCACTGCACTGCGAGCATGGGGTGCACGCATGGGGTGCACGCATGGGAGAGGGGTTGACGGCGGTCATAGCGCGGTGGGTGGGTGGGAGTAACTATACTGTGATAGGAAGTTTGCTTTAAGGCGACCGGTTCATGCCAGCACTGCCACCATTCTCTCTTTGCCAACACTGCCATGAAGCCCTTTATACCGTCGCATTCTCAACGTCTTCCTCTCCCCAACCTCCACCCTCAACCTCCAACCCCCTTCTTTTTCGTCTCCCTCCATCACTCCCTCCCTCCCTTCATCCCTCCGTCCACCCTCCCTCCACCTCCAGCCTCTCTCCCCTGCTCTGAAACCCCCCTCTCCCTTTGTTGGTTGCAACCAACCTTGCAGCTGAGCAAGGAGGTGGGGGCATCAAATTGGACTCGCTCCGCCTCGCTTTGAGTCCACTCAAAACATCCCTCCATCCACCTCCACCCTCTCCCCCGCGCTGAAACCCCTCTCTCCCTTTGTTTCCTGCAACCTCTCAGTTGAGCAAAGAGGTGGAGGCGTCAGACTGGACTCGCTCCGCCTCGCACTCTACAGCTGCCTCCACCTCCGCCGCCTCCCCCTCCCTCGCTCACCTTCTCTCCAACCCGCCTCCCTCGTCCTCGCATTCGCGCGGCTCTACTGCTGCGCCTCGCACTCTGCTGCCCTTGGTACCAGTGGCACCAGCAGCTGCAGCGGCGGCGGCAGCAGCAGAGGCGAGAGCGCAGGCAGCACTTGCAGCGGCAGCAAGAGGAGGAGAAGTAGGAGCACCTGCAGCAGCACCAGCAGATTCCACGAAAGGAAGGCCACAATCATCCGCAGCAGCAGCAGGAGAAGCAGAAGCAGGTGGCACAAGAGACGGGAAGAGGACGAGAGAGTCAGCGCAGGAAAGGACAAGAGAAGCCAGTCATTGTGAGGATACTGGGCGGCAGAGTGGGTGCGTGCCAGCGGAAGATTCCTGTGCTACGCTAGAATGTGATCGTGCAGGGCATACAGCGAGCACTCTGGTGCAGCCCTGGGTGCAAAGTGATGCCACCAGTACCGGCAGCAGCAGGGATGCAGGCAGTGAGCTTGGGAGTAAGGATGGAGGTAGGATTGAAGATCGTGGTGCCGGTGGAGGTGGGAACACGAGTACAGCTACAGGAACAGAAGCAGCAGATTTAGGGGCAGCAGCAGAAGCAGCGGCAGCAGGACCAGAGACAGCTGCTGCAGCAGCGGCGGCAGCAGCAGCGGGAGCACGAGTGGCAGCAGCAACAGCAGCAGCAGCAGAAGCAGGAGCATCAGCATCAGGGAATGGAAGCAGTGGAGAGGAGGGCATGGACATGGCAATAGCCATAGGGGAGGAGGTGGCGCATGTGCATGCAGCATCACATGAGGCATCACACAGGCTGGTGGCACTGAGGGAGCAGCTGCGGCAGGAGGTGCGGGACTCACAGGAGTTCCACACCGCTCTCACCACGCTCTCGCGCATTGTCAAGTGTTTGCCTTGCCTTGCCCTGCCTTGCTCTGCCTAACCCTGCCTTGCCTCACCTTGCCCCGACCCACTCCGCCCCGCCCCACCCCGCCTCACCTTGCCTTGCCTTGTCCCCTATTCAGTTAAGGTTTCCTCCATGGCTGATCGTCTATTTGCTTCCTGGAGCTTGCTTAATGTGTGCCTCTCTGTTCCCTCTACTGCCTTCCAACCTCTTTCCTTTGTCGCACTCCTTCTCTCGTTGTCCTTACTCTTCCCTTCCCCTGCATCCCCTTTCCTTCACCCCCATTGTTATGAACCTTTACAGCAACGCCAGACAACACCCCCATGATACCAAGTACCACCGCATTAGACCAGTAAGTTCAGTTCCTGTCTTCTCCCTTGCTCCTGTTTCCATGCTTCTCCACAGCATTTGTTGCACCAGCTTATCTCACTCATTGGTGTCTCAGCTTCCCTTTTCTACTTCCATGCGTGTGTGTGCATGTTTCTGCGTCTGTGTCTGTGTGCGTGTGCGTATCTGTGTGTGTGCATGTGCGTGTGCATGTGATGTGTGTGCGTGCGTGCATGTGTGCATGTGTGTGTGTGTGTGTGTGTGTGTGTGTGTGTGTGTGTGTGTGTGTGTGTGTGTGTGTGTGTGTGTGTGTGTGTGTGTGTGTGTGTGTGCACTACTCTGTGCTTGTGTCTCGATGCCATCTCTCCATGTCTGCAGGCCAATCCCAAGTTCCACAGCTTTGTCGGCAGGTTCACAGGTACACAACACACCTATCTTTCTCACTTTACCATGGGGCCCTCATGCCGTGTCGTAGTGTGTCAATCTGCTCTTGTCATGCCATGTCTCTGCCACGCCCCTACATTCCTATCTTGTTCCCACATGCGAGCTGCGTTTCTAATGCATTGGCTCACGTGCCAATCATGTGATTGTTGACTGTGTCCATTCTGTAATGAACCCACATTGGATTAACCCTGCCCTTAATGCCCTTCCCTTCTTTCACTCCACCCTTGCGCAACATCCCTACCGTATCTGTCCATGCAGTGGCAGTGGCCATTCTGGAGGCAGCAGGGTTCCGCAGGGTGAAGGAGAGTAGGGATGCAGGAGGAAATGCATCTGAGGAAGTGCTACTGCTGCGCCGCTTTGACCCTGTGCTCTTGTGGCTCACAGCGGACGTGCTGGAGGCTGCTTCTTGATGGCCTATCATATCATCATGCCGCATGGAGCAGTGACGTGACACACACGCATGGTGCATGCTGTACGGAGGAGTTACATAGATGGACTGTACAGGAACATAATGTTTATAATACTGGTGTGAAGATTTCAGTGTTCTCATTGTATCTTCTGGTTCCGGTGTAGTGTTATTGCGTGTTTCTTGTGAAAAGTACGCCTCTGTTGGCCAACTTACCATATGCTTCATGGCAGTGGGGATAATCCCATTACATAAAACACGATCCCATTACAGATTGTAAGGGCCTGATAATAATCAGGGCCGCTAAAATTGAGTCAAGGCAAGTTTCTAAAGGATCCTGTTATTCACTCTGTCACTTGCCTCTCGAAACTGGGCAACCGGTTTCAAGTGATCAGCCTGACCAGAACCAGGTTGCAAGCTTTACTACTACCGCCTCTCACACTGCCTCTGTCCCGGCAGAAGCGCACCACACCACACCACCTCTGCCGGCTTCTCCCTCCACGACCGGCAAAACTTCAAACACGTACCAGCCATTCTTCCTCCTACCATCTTGATCTGCCGCCACCACACCACACTGCGTTCAGCTGAGCTGCCGGACGAAGTTGAGCAGGGAGTCGGAGTCACGCCTCTCCCCACGCATCTTCACCACCAGTGCGGCCTGCTGCCCCTGGCGCGGGCGCACCGAGAGAATGGTGGGGAAGGACCCCGCGTCCAGCCGCTCCCGTGCAAACTGCCGCATGTCCCGATCGCCCTGCCGTGGGGGAAGGCGGGTACAGGGGAAAGGGAATGGGGAAAAAAACGGAAAGGAGCAAGGGGGGCAAGGGGGAAAGGGGGGAAGGGAAAGAGGAAAGAGGGGGAGAAAAGGAGGGGGGGAGGGAAGAGGTTGTTTATAAGACAGGAAAGGAGGGTAGAGGAGAGTAAAAAACATTTCCTTAGTGGGGAGTGCAAAAAGGTGAGGTTCAAGACAGAAACAGGAAGAGCAGGTGCAGGACTGGAAATACATTGCTTCCCATACCAACAACCCCTCACCACTCCACCCACCCTGAACTTGGCGACGCGTGTGCGCGAGCCCTCTTCCCCCCGCAGCACGCCCGCGGTGTGCAGCAGAGCGGGTTCGAGCGCCTGGCAGAAGGGGCACCAGGGCGCGTACACCACCACCAGCCACGACCACGCCGCTAGCTCCCCCGCCCTCTGCTGCTCCTCTGGGGTTGTTGCTGCTGCTGGCGACAGCTGGTGCGGGGGGAGGGGGAGGGAGGGAGGAGAGGGAGTGGGAGTGGGAGTGGGAGTGGGAGTGGGAGTGGGAGTGGGAGTGGAGTTTTGAGTCGACTCAAAACTCGATTGTGGGTTCGAGTGCCTGGCAGAAGGGGCACCAGGGCGCGTACACCACACCAGCCACGACCACGCTGCTAGCTCCCCCGCCCGCTGCTGCTCCTCTGGCGTCGCTGCTGCTGCTGGCGACAGCTGGTGCGGGGACAGGGGAGGGAGGGAGGAGTGGGAGTTGGAGAGGGAAGGGGGGGATGACATGAGGAGGCAGACAGCAGGCGATGCAGATGAAGAGAGCAAGACACGGGGTGAGCAAGCACGCGGAGGGGGAGAAGGGGAGGAGGAACGAATGGAAGGAGGGGGAGGGTGGGGAGGGCGGGCGGGAGAGAGAGAAGTAAGGAGGGAGGGAGGGAGGGAGCGAGGGATAGAGAGAGGGAGGCGGGCGGGCGGGCGGGCGGGCGGGCAGGAAGCAATGCAGGCAGGGAGGCAGTGGGCACTGACCAGCAGTTCAACATCCCGTGCACTCAGCTCCTCCACGCCCCCATCCACATAGATATCCTCCGCCTCCTCCTCTCTCCGCCGCTGCCGCTCCCGCTCCTCCTCCTCCCGCCTCGCCACCTCCGCGGCCGCCAGCTCCGCCTCAGCAGCAGCGCGCGTGCCCACGCCCGTGTGCCCGCGCGTTGCCAGCGCGCCCGGGCCCGCCACGGGCGCCAGTTCCAGCGCGGACAGCGCAGCAGCCGCGGACGCGCCCGTGGGCGCAGCAGCAGCGCCCTTGGCGGAAGCATAACGAGCACCAGCAGCAGCGGAGCCACGAGAAGCAGTGCCGGAGGACGGCTGGTGCAGCCCGCACTCCTTGCTTCCCGCCTCCTCCCACCACCACCGCCCCTCGCGCTCGTGCTGGTGCGGCAGCACGGGGCGCGTACACGGCTCACAGCCAATAGACGTGAAGCCCTGCGCGTGGAGCGGGTTCGTAGGGACCTCGAGAGCCTCCAGCATGTGCCAGACGTCTGAGCCGGAGACGAGGGCGAGCGGGTTGACTTTGACTAGGGTGCCCACTGCACCGCCCGCGCCCTCGTTGCCTGGGTCGACCTGCACCAGTGGCACGTTGGCACGTGTCCCTATGGACTGGTCCCGCCGCTGCCCCGTGATCCACGCGCGCAGCGTGCGGAGCTTGCGCTGTGGGTTGAGAGTGGGCGGGGAGGAGAGGGGGGGTGTGTGGAGCCGGGGAGGAAAAGGGAAGAGGGCGGGGTGAGAGAGGCGAGGTGGGAGGAGGAGCAGAGACATGCGACGAGGAGGGCGGAGAAGCGTGTATTAACACATGGATCGAGGCGGGGTCACCACAAGAGGAAGCGAGGCAAATGCAAGGGGTTAAACGAGAGAATCTGCTACTGTAGACGACGCATGCCGTTTTGCCGCACTAAACATTATCTTCTATGGCAAGGACAGTTCGAGAGGGCGAGCAGCCGTCAGAGTAACTATGACATGAGTAGGTCCAGCATGAGAGGCAGCAAGTGCCTCTTTCGGCCAAAAGGGTGGCATCACGCGGCTGCGTGTGACTCCTCCTCCTCCTCCTCCTCCTCCTCCTCCTCCTCCTCCTCCTCCTCCTCCTCCTCCTCCTCCTCCTCCTCCTCCTCCTCCTCCTCCTCCTCCTCCTCCTCCTCCTCCTCCTCCTCCTCCTCCTCCTCCTCCTCCTCCTCCTCCTCCTCCTCCTCCTCCTCCTCCTCCTCCTCCTCCTCCTCCTCCTCCTCCTCCTCCTCCTCCTCCTCCTCCTCCTCCTCCTCCTCCTCCTCCTCCTCCTCCTCCTCCTCCTCCTCCTCCTCCTCCTCCTCCTCCTCCTCCTCCTCCTCCTCCTCCTCCTCCTCCTCCTCCTCCTCCTCCTCCTCCTCCTCCTTCTCTCTCGATTTGCCCTTCTTTCTTCGTTTTGTCATCGTTTTTCTTTTCTTTTCTTGGGTAAAAAGGAAAGGGGGACTTCCGCCTGTTTCCTTCCCTCTCACTTCCACATTAACCAACCACTTACCCAACTCGTTCTCCTCACAAACCAACCTTCCATTTAACCTCTCAAACCCATTCCCCCTTCCCCTCGCAATCCCCCTCCCTCCCCCAATCCCTCCCCCGGCGCGCGCGCACCTTGAGCGGCTGCACTTTGCGGACGGAGCAGCATTCGAAGTGGCCGTCCGTGTAGAAGGAGAAGAGCCCCTTGGCGCCAACCAGCTGCTCCCTCTTTCCTCCTCCTTGCCCGCGAGGGAAAGGGGGGCCTTCCCTGTTTCCTCCCCTACCTCTTCCGCGTTCACCAACCACGTACCCAACTCCTTCTCCTCATTAAACCTCTCAGCCACCCCCTCAACCGCCCTCCCCCACTAGTTTTAAAGAGGAGCGCGCGCACCTTGAGCGGCTGCACTTTGCGCACGGAGCAGCATTCGAAGTGGCCGTCCGTGTAGAAGGAGAAGAGCCCCTTGGCGCCCACCAGCTGCTCCACCGCCGCCGCGTCCGGGAACAGCACCTCCATGCGCACTCCGTAGTGCTGCTCCACCTGCCACGCGCGCAGCATGCGCGCGCGCACGCGCACAGGCACGCACGCACGCACGCACGCACATCGCGCATTGCATTGCGAGGGAGAAGGCCAGAGGGGGAGCGTGTGGGTTAAAGCGGGCGCTGAAAATAAAAGAGCCAAAAAAACATTGACCAACCGCAATAACAGCATTTTGTTGGGGGAAAGTCATGAGAAAAATGTAAGAAACAAATGGGCGACATGAAGCGGAATGCGATACCTGGTGGAGGAAGCGGTAGGTCTCGGGGTTGAGGCGGCCCGTGTCGAGGCAGAAGACGCGGAAGGGACGGCCCGTGCTCGCCGCCAGCTCCACCAGCAGCACGTCCTCCGCACCGCTGAACGCGATCGCCGCATCCACACCGTACAGCTCCAACACCTGATCGGACGGTCGGGATGGGAGGAGGAAAGGTGGAGAAGGGAGAGGAGCAGGTCCGTGTGAGTTCGACGCTGCTAAGATTAAACAAGACGCCGTCTGTTGGTTGATCGTGTCTGAGAGCGGAGAGCTTGTGCCTCCAGTCAGCCATTACCCGTGATACTTGATCTTCCTTTGGCCAACTCAATCGGCACAGCACTTCCTTGCGCATATTGCTCCATGCCATCAACGGCATTGGTTGCGACGATCGACACCGCAGCGACGGCCGACATTGTGTGCGACGGGCGACATTGCTGGCGGCGGGCGACAATGATTGCGACGGGCGACAATGGTTGCGACGGGCGACACTCACCCGGTCCATGATCGCGAGGGGCGACATGCCCTCCAGCTCCTCGCTCAGCATCGCCACCTCCTCGTTCGCCCGCAGAATCGCCTGCGCCACTTCCGCCTCGTCCTTCGTCGTCGCCGTCGTCGCGGTTGCCGCCGCCGCGGACGCGCCGACGGATCGCGCACCGTCGCCCGCGGCGGCCAGAACAACGCAAGGCCGCGACTTTCTCACAGCCATTTGGGCGGCAGCGGCGGCGCCGTTAGGGTTTGAGGGTTTTGATGACCCGACAAACGGGGATCGGATCGCGGAAAGAAGACTCTGCTGCGGCGCTGCGGGAGCGCCGGCGATCGCGGGAACCAGCCTGGCGCTGACGGCATTTGCGACGGGCGTTGCCAGCGACGACGACGGCGGAACCATGGCGGGCGAGTTTACGCGCAAGAGGTGGATCAAGTCGGGCTTGGCCTCCTGGCCTGACGATAAACTCGGAAGGTAAGTCGTCGACGTTTCGGAGAGGCGGAGAGAGAGGAAAAGATGGCGCGGGAAACGATGACCTCTTGCGGTTGGACGCACGGTGAAATTGAGGGGGGAAATGGAGAAAAGGCGTGCGGAGTGCGGGGTTTTATAGCTCCTCGAAGTGTGAGAGGAAGGAAAGGGGGAAAGGAGGGCTGTAACGAGGGTGGGGTGAGTGAGGAGGAGGAAAGAGGGGGTGGGGTGGGGCGGGGTGAGGTGAGTTACGGTATTAGACAGTACAGGCCTAGTGTACAGTGTATCGATCAAGCCCGGTTCATCCAACCGTTGGCGGGAAAACCTTACCTCCAAACGGCGCCGAGCGTGCGGGCGGGCTCCGCCAATGAGCGAGACGAATTGCTGCGGCAGATGTGCTTGAATGCAGATCGGATCGCCAGAGGACGAATCGTTACAAGCGTCGCGGCACGGCTACATGACTAATGTCACCAGGTACCGGTACGTGTAACATTCTAGTGTTTGACTACGACTGCTCCTTGATTACCCTGCTACGGGCTGTTCACGTGGATCTATCTTTCCAGTGATCTATGCAAGCAGCAAGACAAGTCAGTGCTGAGCTGAATGCTGTTTGTGGAACTCAAGGGTATAGGATTCTCTCTCTTTCCACCCCCAATCACATCGATGTGGCAATGGCATGTGTACGAAGCTTCTTCACTGTTGTCCCATTTACGGTAACACCTGACCTGAAGTCACCACATTGGACCCCTTTCACACATCACAATTCACGTTCAAACTAACAAACAAACACTTCCATGCCACAAGAGCATACGGTAGCGAAGACACGCCACTCAGCCTGCAAGCCACAAAACACCCTCAGTGGAAAAAACATATGGGCATATGCCCAGCACCACTGCCCACTGCTGCGCAGCTACACTCGTCCACCTCGTGCAATCACGGCAGCCGCCACAGCAACAGTGGCCACAGCAACCACCGTGGCCGCACCCCCAGCATACGCCCATGCCGTGCCCGAACCCCAATGTGCAGGCGGGAAAGAAGGTCGAGACACACTTGGCGCAGATAGAGAAGAAGTACCAGGTTCAGCAGCAGAACCAGCACCTGCAGCGCCAGTAGACGCAGTAGAAACGGTAGAAGCAGGAGGAGTTTCGGTATTTGCCTTCTTGAGTTGCCGTGGCTTGGGAGGGGAGTCTGAAGCAGTAGCAGGGAAGTCGCCTCCCACAGGCAGGCCGTGACGCTTGTAAGCCACAGCTGCCCCTGCAGCAGCCCGAATAGAGGCCGCTGCTGCTGCCCCTGCCGCTGCAGCAGAAGCAGCAGCACTTGCAGGGGAAGACCTAGCAGCGGCGGCAGGAGAGGTATTGACCAACGCGCGTGACTGAGACCCATCAGCATCTGATGCTGGTGCTTCTGCTGCTGCTCGTGCCGCGGAGGCTGGTGGTGCTGCAGCAGTAGGGTGAGCTGGTGGGGACGCTGCAGCTCTGGCAGGGCTGGAGTGGGAACCGGCAGCAGGTGCAGCCAAGGCTGCCTGTATGGCAGCATAAGGCACACGAATCGGTACAGCTGCAACAGGGGAGACAGGAAACTCTTCAGACGCTCCTCCTCCTGCTGCTGCAGCAGCAGCTGCTGCTGCTGCTGCTGCTGTTGGTATGGGGAGTGGGGGCCGGGTGAGGATGAGAGTGGGGCGGAGAAAGGTGGGAGAGTGGGGATGGGGAGTAAGGCCACTTCCAGCTGCTGCTGCTGCCGGAAGGCCTTGGGATAATGAGAGAGACCCTGCCTGCTGCCCCATTGATTGCTGCTGCTGTTGGGTGTGCATGAGTTGAGGCATGTACTGTTGGAAATAAAGAGAACTCTGCACTTGTGACTGCTGCTGCTGCTGTTGCTGCTGCTGCTGCTGCTGCTGCTGCTGCTGCTGCTGCTGCTGCTGCTGCTGCTGCTGCTGCTGCTGCTGCTGCTGCTGCTGCTGCTGCTGCTGCTGCTGCTGCTGCTGCTGCTGCTGCTGCTGCTGCTGCTGCTGCTGCTGCTGCTGCTGCTGCTGCTGCTGCTGCTGCTGCTGCTGCTGCTGCTGCTGCTGCTGCTGCTGCTGCTGCTGCTGCTGCTGCTGCTGCTGCTGCTGCTGTGCGGCGGCAGCAATGGCGGTTGCTGGTGATAGTGGAAGAGGTGGGGCGGTTGGCTGTGAACGTCCATGGTAGTGTGCGCGCCATTGGCAGGCAGGGAATGATAGGGGTATGCTGTGTAAGGCTGCTGTGGTACTGAGGCTGGAGGCCTGTTTGAATACGGGTATGGATTGTACTGCTGCTGCTGCTGATGCTGTTGGTGCTGTTGGTGCTGTTGGTGCAGCTGGGGAGGTGGTTGCGGATCCGAGAAGTCCAGATGCAGCTTTATGCCCTGCGAGCGCATGGGGGAGGTGGGCAGAGCACGACGCACACACACACACATGGCATGATAAACGGGCGTGGCATATGACGACGGGATGACAGCATACGAGGGTGATTCTCGACAAGGACGAGGAGCAGGTAGCTTCCTCAATGTGTTTTGAGGCGCCTCAAAACACACCTCAATGCTAAAGGACGAGGAGCAGGTAGCTTCCTCAATGCTTGAACAACAAGCGGGGTGAGGCGCACTTTTTTGCAGGGTGGGGAGCAGTGGATACAAGCGAGCAAGCTGGGCCGTCTAGACAATATCCAACTGCCGAGTAGCACACATACTAATCGCCCTGCTGCCTGTCAGCTCGTAATCAATGTGGTGTAATCTGACCGTCCATCCATCTCCCTCCCCACCACAATGAGCTCAGACAGCCGAGCAGCAGCGCAGGAACCCAGGAGTGGTCCGAAAGGGTCGGTCGGTCGGTCGGTCGGTCGGTCGGTCGGTCGGTTGGCTGGTTGGTTGGGTGGGTGGCACCTTGCAGTTGGAGGCGAGGGCAAAGGTGACGGCAGCTTGCAGGTCCTCATCCGTGGATAGCACTACCTTATCCCCCTCCTCGTCCTCGTACTGCCTCGCACATGCACCCATGCACATGCACCCATGCATGCACACACGCACATGCAGTCATGCACATGCACTCATGCACGCACACACGCATGTATGCACGATGCACGCATGTAAACACGCACACATGCACGCAGACACACTCACAAGCACACACGCACTCACGCGCACACACATAAACACAAACACGCACATGTACACATGCGCACAAGCGCACGCACACACGCACCCGCTCATGCGCTCACCCCCGCACACACACGCATGCATGCATGCACACAAGCAAGTGAGCGCGCACACACACACACGTAGAACAGAGCAAGGGTGGTGCAGAAGGGGAATGGTGTATGCGGGTGAGAGAGCAGTACGTGCGATGGGGTGGAGTGGATGTGAAGGGGGCGGCGGCCAGCAAGACAGGTAACCAAAAGAATGGAGAGGAGTGGGGGGGTTGGAGGGGCGGGGAAACTGGAGTGGGAGGAAGGAGGAAGGGACTGACACAAGAAAAGTGTCTAGCACAGCATGTCGCATGTATTGGGGTGTGCAGGAAGGCATGGTGGGAACGAATGTGCATGTACAGTACACACCATGACAGCAGGCGGGTTGTTGGGGTCATAGTCGGGTCCCAGGCGAGACGCCACTGCACAGATGAGCTCCGTCACACTCTCCCGCCCTGACGCCCCCACACGCCGTGCCATGCGGTGCAGAGACGTGGAAAAGGGCGAGGAGAGGAGATCGTGGGAAGGGTAGAGGGTGTTTGGGAGGGGTAGATGGAGATGGAGGGGAGAAAGGTTAGAGGAGGAGGCGGCAGAAAGATGGGTTCTGTGTCGCTCTCTTGGCAGCGCACACAGCCGTGTCAGTGCAGCGCAGTGCAGCGCAGTGCAGCGCAGTGCCGAGCACAACAATGCAGGCACATGCCCATGAGTTAGGAGGAACACAGTACAACAAGGCAGCAACAAGGAATCGAAAAGGGAAACCTATTAGCTGAGAGAAAAAGAGAGACGAGAGGAATGACACAACAGAGTCGAAAGACCATTGCAAGTCCGCCAGCACGATAACTGTTGAGTCGCGTCAAGAGTCAACACAACCTAGACCCAGAGGTCTCTAAAAACCAACGACATCTAGACTCAGAGGTCTCTAAAAACCAACGACATCTAGACTCAGAGGTATCTAAAAACCAGCTGGCAGAGACATCCAGCCCAGAGCCCTTCAACTGACTTCTGAGTCGACTCAAAAGTCACCCAGCTGGCAGAGACATCCAGCCCAGAGCCCTTCAACTGACCAGCTGTGAATCGGTGCACGCGCCCCCGCCTGTCCTCCATCTTGAACGCAAACCGCATGTCACCCAGCCCTCCCGCCACCAACCCCCCTCCACCGTACCCCACCGCTCCCTCCCCGCCTGCACCACCCCCCACGCCCGTGACGCCGCCTGTCCCAAATACCACCTTCCCCTCGGTTATATCAGAAAGGGGCCGTGAGGGGACGGATTGGGGATGGGGAGGGGGGAGGGAGGGGAGGGGAGAGGCAGCGGCGGTGCGTCGTGGTGTGACAACTGCTGCAGAGGAAGCAGAGTGAGTAGAGTGAGCAGAGGGAGCAGAGGGGGTGGATGCAGCAGTGGGGACAATGCTACTGGTTGCGGCTGTGGGGTCCGCATGAGAGGCTGTTGTTGCTCCTGGTGTGCCCTTCCCTGGCCCTGCATCTCCCTTTCTTCCTCCCGCCCCTCCTGCCCCTCCTCCTGCTGCTGCTGCGGCTGGTGCAGGTGCAGGTGGTGTGGCAAGGAGGGAAGGAGGGCGAGCGGGGCGGGAGATGGGCATGGAGGAGACAGAGCCAGCGCGAGATGCATCCCAGAAGTCAATGCTACGCACACTGCTTGGGGAGGCGATGGGAGCAATGGGGGCAATGGGGGCGAATCATGGGGATGTTTTGAGTTGACTCAAAACAAACTGGGAGGTGGGCATGGAGGAGACGGAGGCAGCACGAGATGCATCCCAGAAGTCAATGCTGCGCACACTGCCAGGGGCCAATGGGGGTGATGGGGGTGATGGGGGTGATGGTGTTATGAATGGATGAGGGAGGCAAAGGGCGAGGAGGAGATCAGCGTGACGTGGAGAGGGATAGCACAGCACAGCCTAACCCGGGATGTTTGAAATGGTCTAGGAGTGAGTGAGGCAGTGACAAGGAGGAGAATGAAACAAGGCGGTGGGTGGAGAGCAGCCATGTGGCTCTTCTTTGGATGTGCATTGCTTTGCGTGTCGAGCGGCGTAACACATATCAGCACACCAAAAGATGTCTGAGCAGAATCAACAATAACGCCCTCCCTATCCCTATCCCTATCCCTATCCCTATCCCTATCCCTATCCCTATCCCTTGGAGGCATCATCGCCAGTGGAAAAGTCTAGGCGCATGGAGGAGTCCCAGAATCGCTGCATGAGCGCTCCAGCTGAATGAACCAAAGAATCAACGCCCTTGCTTTTCCACCTCCCATCCCCTCCTCCACTCCACCACACGCACCTGGAGGCATCATCGCCAGTGGAAGGGTCTAGGCGCAGGGCGGAATCCCAGAATCGCTGCATGAGTGCTCCAAACGCCTCGTTGCTGCCACTGCCACCACCAGCACCACCTGCAGCACCGCCACCGCTGCTGCTGTTGTTGCCCTCCCCCCCTGATGCTGCGCACTGCTGCTGAGGGAGATGGAGACAGGAATCCGAATGAAGGGGAGACATGGAAACTCGTATGGGATGGGAATTTCGATAGAATGTGGCAGTGTAGGGTAGGGGAGAGCAGGGAGGAGGGAATGGGAGTGGTGGGGTCGATGCGCAATGGGGTTCAAAGGGGTTGGGCTGATCAAAAGGGCTCTTACTTACTGCTGTGGTTATATACAGCAGGGCGGGTGAGAGAGAATGGGTGGGCGCCATGCGGCACGAGGGCACTGCTTGGCGTTGCAAAATAAAAAGCAAGCATTCACTGGGCATGGCATGGCATGGCATGGCATGGCATAGCATAGCATGGGTAGCATGGCATGGTATGGATTCCAACCTGTCGCATTCCAGGGATGGGATGGGACGGCATGGCAGCTATACATAGGGAGGCAGAGAGGCGTACCGGCATGGAGAGTGCCTCATGGATAAGATGAATGACGTCCACGCATGCCACACAGTTGCCGTCTGGTGGTGCTCGAGTGACACGCACGCACCCACGCACACGAGAGACAACGCCGCAAGTGCTCGCACACACCAGAAACACATGTGCCCGCACACGCACGTGTGCGCATGGACGGAAGATGGGGGCCGGGAGAAAAAGCAAGGAGGGGAGGTGGGGGGGGGGGGGGAAGGGGAGAAGTTGATGATTGCACAAAACGCTGAACCATAACCCGATGATGTTGAGGAAGGGGAGACGCGGAGGAGGGGGAGGAGATTGAAAGAAGCTGAAGCATAGAACGAAAGCGAACGACGGTATAAGCGAAAGGAAGGGTACGGTGGGATGGAGACGGAAGGGAACGGGACGTGGTCGAAAGGAAGAAAGAAAGGGGTTGAAGTGTCGAGAATGGGTGTGATGGTGGGTGTGAGCGTGGGTGTGAATGGGTGTGATGGTGAGTGTGAGTGTGGGTGAGAATGGGTGCGAGTGTGCGGGTGTGGCAGCGGTGAGGGTGAGGCACCTTTATCAACGACAGGGAGGTGCAGGAAACGACCGTCGTGCATGAGATGAAGCGCCTCCACCACTGGCGTGTTCAGACTCGCACACTCGGGACTCGCTGTCATGGCCTGTTGTGTACCAATGCACTCATGCATGCACCCATGCACCCATGCATGCACCCATGCATGCACCCATGCACCCATGCATGCACCCATGTACCCATACATGCACCCATGCACCCATGCACCATGTGCCCATGCTCCAATGCACCCATGCACCCATGCAAACATTTTTAACAATCCAATAAAGAAACTAGCAAGCCTGAAAGGAGAGGCACAACACGAGGTGTGCACCCGCGAAGAGTAGCGCCTGCTGTGTCCCTCAACATGCAACCTCTGCTCCACCCCTGCCTCTGACATTTGAGTCGACTCAGAAGTCACCTTGTTCCTCAACATGCAACCTCTGCTCCACCCCTGCCTTTGACATTTGAGTCGACTCAGAAGTCACCTTGTTCCTCAACATGCAACCTCTGCTCCACCCCTGCCTCTGACATTTGAGTCGACTCAGAAGTCACCTTGTTCCTCAACATGCAACTTCTGCTCCACCCCTGCCTCTGACATTTGAGTCGAGTCAGAAGTCACCTTGTTCCTCAACATGCAACTTCTGCTCCACCCCTGCCTCTGCATACATGTTCCTGCAGGAGTGTGTCTGTCTGCCAGAGTTTCTCCACTCTGCCTGTGTGTGCATATGCATAGGAGGAACACCCATGCAGCTAGCCGCACCTCCACACAGCACCCTCCACACAGCACCCTCCACACAGCACCCTCCACACAGCACCCTCCACCCTAGGCTGGACCATGCCTGTGCGCGGGGTTTTGCATCGACTCAAAGCACGCACTAACCGCTTACCTTGTTAACCTGCGCAATGTGTGCGCCCAGCCGCGTCACGAGTGTTTTAGGCATTAAAAAGGCTGTCTTGTGCCATGAATGCGTGCCTGCGTGCATGCCTGCGGGTGAGTGTACACCCACTCACCTTCTTGACCTGCAAGATGTTTGGGTCCAGCCCTTCACGAGTTTTGGTGTGGCTCAGCAGTCAAATCGTGCCATGCAGCAGCCCAGCCCAGCCCAGCCCGCACGCGTGCGTGTGTGCGTGCGTGTGTGTGGGTGAGTGGACAGCCGCTCGCTCACCTTCTTGACCTGCACGATGTTTGGGTCCAGCCCTGTCACGAGCACTCGCAGCAGAATGTCCTTTGACCTGCGGGCGATGGCGGGCGAGGGGAGGCGAGAGGAGGCGAGTGGGGAGGGGAGAGGGGGAAATGGGAGAGAAAAAAAAGAGGGGAGAGAGGGAACGGAGGGGAGAGAGGGGAGAGTGGAAGGTAGGGGAGAGAGCGGACGGAGGAAGGAAGGGAGGGAGGAAGGGAGGAAGGAAGGAAGGAAGGAAGGAAGGAAGGAAGGAAGGAAGGAAGGAAGGAAGGAAGGAAGGAAAGGAAGGAAGG